ATCTATATGTTGTGAGATACTGACATTATAAGCACGCATAACACTGTTTATTTATAAGATTGTTAATTGGAATGGTTGGCAAAATATCGGCTAATTGCCAATTATTTCGAACTTTATAAAATGGTAAATAATAAGGATTTTCTTATATTTGGTTTAGATATTTTATGCATAAACAGGAAACACAAAAAATGTTGAATCGCTGAAATCTTAAACTTAAATTATTTTTGGCAAAGTTTAAACTTAAAAAACGATGTTTCAAAATGAAGTTTATTCCCTTCACGCAGCTCTTAGTGTATCCTAACAAGACTCCCTCGACAATGTTTATTTAGAAGAATAAAAATATGTGATCCAAATAAAATGAAATATTTATTATTTACCTTTCATAAAGATTTATTATTTATCATTTTATAAAGAAATAAATTTTAAAAGAATTTTTTTTTATTCGAACATTTATAAAAAAACTAGCAGTAGAGCCCGGCGTTTCCCGGGGATGTAACAGTAAGAGATTGATCAAGTATCGACCATCATAAAGACTGAAAAATAAAATTGACATAGATTATTGTTTAAGGTTGACGGACACGTATGTCTTAATTAGTTTTTTTTTTTTGTTTTTTACAAATTGGTCAAACCAAACTCAAAAAAAAAAACATTTTTTTAATCGTTATTTTCTACCAATTGAATAGAATTTTATTATAAGCACTTGGTTATTAAATGGAATTTTTAAAGCATTCTGAATGTAAAAATGGAAAAAAAAAAAGTGGGCAAGACAACAAAGAAACACTACCAGCCAAAAAAAAAAAACGTTGTTGAAATCGGTTGAAAAATTAGGAAATCCGATCCCATTCAATAAACGAAACACACACACATACACACACACACATATACATCACACAACAATTCACACAAATAAACAAACAACCTGGGTTTTATAATAAGTATAACTCGATATGAGTCAACTTTGTTCATTCTCGACAGCGATGCCTTTTAATCGTGTTTTCAAATTGATTAAATAGCAACAACAATTGTGTTTTTTCAATTTTAGCGCTGTCAGAACCACCACAAAGGTAATTTTATTAGTCCTGTGAAGTTTTTTTGAAGTCGGTTGAAAAATGTTTAGGAAATCCGATCCAATATATAAACGTACAGACACACACAAACACACACACACACACACACACATATATATATATATATATATATATATATATATAAAGGTTTACTAATATTCCATGGTTTATAATTTATTACAATTGGAATAATTTCTATCTGATCAAAATCATCAGACTTATGAATTCAAAATTTTTGAATTTGTAGGTCTGATGATTTGATCGTGATTGAGATTCCAAGTAATAAATTATAACCATGGAATATTAAATTGTTTGACCTTTTATATGATATTAAAATCTGTCTGGACATTGAGTTCTACCTGATTCTATAAATGAATATATATATATATATATATATATATATATATATAAAATATATAAAATATAAATATATAAATAAAAATGTTATAAAATACTACAAAAAATAGCCATTTTGTTTCAACACCTACGGCGTCTTATCAAGTGATGATGTTGAATGCAAAATAAATGATTTTAAAAGTTTCAAATTAATTAACGATCCATCGCAAAAGGGAAAACGTTGATTTACAAAAAAGCTAGAATGACCAAAAAAAAAATACAAGTATAGGAAAATTCATTGTTTATTGACAATGAAATCATGTTATAATAGCTATTCAGATCTTTAAAATTATTTGAGGAGAAACAAAGAAATACATATGTTATTCAATTTAAAAATCCAAATTTAAAAAATTACATTAGAACAGACGCTAAAAAATATCCGGTCATCTGACAATATATATGTATATATTTTAATCCCAATAGATGTGAATGAATTTAAATAACCTCACGTGTAAAAAACAACACAAAACACAATCAGATTATAATACATAAGCACCCAGACATATTTAGATATATATATACACAAAGAAAGTGACGAGACAGGGAACATCTCCACGGCCCTTTATGAAAAAAAAAGAGGGGGAAAACCAACATCTACATACATACACAATTAAAAGTGAATGCACTTTCCATACACATAGACACCGATAAATACATGTAAAACCATTTATTTAGCATTCAACATCATCGCTTGATGACAACAGGGGTGTTGAAACAAAATGACTATTTTTGTAGTGATTTTATAACATATTTATGTTATAAATTTTTTTGAATAAATAATTATATATGCTCTACTTTGTATTGAGCACTCTTTTAAGAATAGTAATTGTTGGTTAATGGAATTCATTCCGTATATACCAATTATATACTTGTATAGATAGATAGATAGATAGATAGATACAATAGTGAGCCAGACAAGAACTAAAGGCCCAAGAACCTAAACGGACCTTCCTGACAATCCGTTTATATTCAAAGTAGGTTTGTCCGGCTCACTAATTTACAAAGTTCTACTCTACGGTTGTATTGAGCGCTTTTTTGTTAGTTGTTTACTCTATCGGGGGTTTTTTTTTCTTTGGGCTTCAAAAACCCTATCTGTGCGATTTTTTTCGACAGACTTTCATATTTCTAACTCTTTCTTTTTTTAACCTTTTTTTTTCCTCGAGATTGATTTGATTATTGGCAAATCAAAAATTGAGGGTTTTACAAAAGAGTATTATATAAATTTTATATATATATATATATATATATATATATATATAATTTATATAAATGTTGAAAAACCATTTTATTTTTAATATAATAATTTATATATATATATATATATATATATATACAAAAGAGAGAATATATTAATCTTATTTGAAGATTACAAACAGAAAAAGAACTCATTTACCTGGAGGATTGAGGGTGTCTAAAAAAAGAAATAGATATTTTGAGAATTTTTTTTGTTTATGACGTGCATACAAAAAGATAGCAGATAGTTGAATTAATTTAGACAATAAGAACATAATTACCTATTAGCAATTATTTTCAGACTTACATGAATAGATAGATAGATTTCGCTTGTAATGATCATTATCTTAAAAGGATGAAATAGTTTTTACCTTACTGTTAAATACGAATTTAAATAATTAGCTGCCATTTTTTTTTATCCAAATACACTCAAATATTTTTAAAAATACTAATTTCAATAAACAAATATTGAAATAAAATTTTTAATCTTTAAATTTTATTTAGTAATTTTAATCACTTGAAATTAAATTTAATTATTTAGTTTTCAATTATAATACTACTAATTAAAATACTTTTTACAAGAAAAGATAAAATTTATTGAAACAAAACAAGTACAGTTGACCACTGATGACAATTCCAGAACAACGTAACTATAAACAATTTTTTTTCTATCCTCTGCCAATGATGATGGAGAAAGCATTACCTCGAACCATCGCCAGTGAGACACGCTGCAAGAGCCACTCCGTTTCGCGAGGCTCATCCCTTAATCGAGACGCCGTCGCGCCAATCCTCTGAAGGAACGCTATCGAACGAGGGCTAATAACTCCTGAAGTCTCCACTGCCACAGGAGTAAAAAAAAAAAATCTATCAGCAAGAGAAAAATATTTAACTATTCTTTTCATCTCTGGCGTCCCGGGCGACGGACCCCGGCTCAACCGCGGACCTGGTCAAATTACCGACCGAAAATGTATCCGCACAGGTCGCAACCCAAATCAACGACTTCTCCATTTTAAAAGGGAAAATGATAATGCCATCCGGCCGCTTTCCATCATCACGGTTGAGGCCTACGGGTTCGATTTGGGAAGGGAACCCAGCTGCATCCAAACCTCTTATGATGATTTCGTTTATTGCTGCATGCCGTGGGAAGCGGCCGGCACTATGACGACAGGAGAGAGGATGCAAACCAAACTCATCGATGGAGGCTCCACATCTGCATCTGTGACGCTCACATATTTTGAGTCTAAGACGGATCACGACTCTGACCCAAGTGCACTCATCATCTAGAAGGGTACCGGTAGATGAAGAGGGCACTGTGTTGAGCCAGGCGCCACTACTCGGTTGTGAAGCAGATAGTAGACAGGCGAGGCGAGGCTGATCCAGAGAGAGCCTCAAATTTTATTTTATCCCAGCTTTTTGGTTTTGATGTGTCGAGTGGGAGAGAAAGTAATTCTTGTGTCCAGATGCTGCAAGCTTGTTCGAAAGAACTACCCGAGAAACACTGAGACGATCAACCGAGTATCGTATCAATTAATTCATGACTGGACGAAAGTGAAGAAAGATATGCTGGAAGAGCCAAATCTACCGGTGATCGAAGGCCCAGGCCTCCGAAACTCAAAGCTTTGCCTGCCTCCAGCCTGTGTCGTCGAAATTAACGTTGCAAATTAGCTCCGCACATCTCTTAACTGTGGTATCTATCTCATTTAAGAAATCCTGTTTGAGGTAGCAAGGGGCACTTCGGAAAGTGTAGAGGAATCTCGGTAGCGAAGAACTGTTCTTCAAGAGGAAGAGGGCTGAGTGTGCATCAATTAGTTTCAATTTCTCAGTCATTCTTGTTAGAATGACATGCTTAGTATCCAAACACTCACGAATGGCCATTGGAAAGACTGCAGAACAAAGAATATGTAATTCCTCCTTAGGTGTTATTTTTATATCCTCAAGGATGAGTCTATTATCCCGGATAGCACTCTCGAAATCATCTGCACTATAATTCAAGTTTATTATCTCTGACTTGGACGAGTTAATCTCAAGTCCAAGCAGAGATAAAACAGGAATAACTCGACGGAGGTCAGCAGCTACGGCCTCGATGGATCTTCCCAATGTTGCATCGTCAAGATACCATATATTGAAAGGTGAAGCGATGGAACGAGCTACCCCGTCAACAGCCATCGCAAATATTAGCGGACCAAGTGGATCACCTTGCTGGATTCCAGTAGCAGAAGAGATAATATTGTCGGAGGCGATCAACATACTTGGATGACTATACGAAAGATGAGCCAGTTTAAATATGGAAGAAGTTCGTTGATGTCAAACTTCCAGGGCATGATCCCTTCTGATGCTATTGAAAGCGTTTTTCATATCCAATTTTAATAAGATACGTGGGGACTCAGGTGATGTATTCTCGAAAAATGATCTTGTGGCATGAACCGCGGCTTCACATCCGCCCTGTATGCCTACCCCGAGCTGGACAGGTCGCAATTCATGCCCTATCTCCTTCACAACAACTCTACAAGGAGTTTTTGCTGCGAGACGACGAAAAATGTTACCAACCGCGATAGGGCGGACACCTCCGTCTTTTTTTTTTCTTTTTAAAGCCTTCAAGTTGGCTGAAAATATTGTCGCGATCATGTTGGGGTATCTCAGCTCGGAGAAGGGAATTAAGAAGAGCTGTTATGGATGTTTTCAAATGTTTACCAGCTTCGACAGTGTTGGCAGAAATTAAGCCCTTGATGCGACCAGATCGAAGGCCGTCTAGACCTCCACTACTGCTTCCCGAGAAAGACTTCAGAGCGGCAACCATTGCTTCCTTTGAGATTTCAATATTTGAATCATTGTTTTCCATCTGAACAAATCTGACATCTGATGGTGGCGCAGGATGTTTCCGACGGAGAACTTTCAAGAAATTCTGGTGTAGTAGCTAGTATAGTATCGGATGAGGCCAACACTCTAACTGCAGCTGAGACATCACCCTCGATCAACTTAGCATTGAAGAGTGCACGGAATCTCTTAGAAACGTCGTCTGTAGATGAAGGATGAAATCTATTAGGTTTAGAAAGATTAGAAAATTCTTAATTCTTAAAATACTTAAACTATTGCTTGTTTCTATTTTTACTAGTAATTTTTCGGTGAAATGTTTGTTTGGCCAAATGTCCATTCGACCAAATGTCCGTCGGCCAAATGGCTCTCGGCCAATTGTCTCCCAGCCAAATATCCATTCGGCCAAATGTCTCCCAGCCAAATGTCCGTTCAGCCAAATGACTCTCTGTCAAATGTCCGTCGGACAAAAGTCCATTCGGCCAAATGTCTCCCAGCCAAATATCCTTTCGGCCAAATGTTTCTCGGCCAAATGTCTCCCAGCCAAATGTCATTGGCCAAATGTACGTTTTGCCAAATGTCTCCCAGCCAACTCTCCGTCAGCCAAATGTCCGTCAGCCAAATGTCTTTCAGCCAACTGTCCGTCGGCAAAATGGCCGTTCGGCCAAATGTCTCTCGGCCAAATGTCTCTCAAATATCCGGTCGCGGTGTCTTTAATTCGGTTTGAATTACTGCTTCTGGAACAGGCTCATTTTATAATGATATGACTCATGATGATAGCAGAAGAATGAATTCAATAGTCTACAAAAAAGTTTTGCCTGCCAATTTACAGAGAAATGAATCCAAAATTATCATGAGGAAGTTTATCATACAGCAGGGAAATAACTCAAAACATATTGCCAACACAACAAAAGACACTATTTACATTATTCGGACTATTGTCCTCATCTTTGACGCCATATTTATTACAACGTTTCGGCCGTTGTACGCTCCGGCCTTCTAGGTGGTTGGAATGTCGAACAGAACCCTTTATTTCGTTCACTGGGGTTAAGGCGGTGGAGAACTTGGAGAGGGAATTAAGCAGGAGATAACTAATAACTGATATCCATTAGACATGGCACGTGGAACTAGAACAGTCTACTACATGTCTCGCTAGACGAATTACGACTTCACTGGGTGCCCTATATTTTCGGCCTTGTGCCACATCTAACCTACGCTTAAAAAATGATCATAATATTCCAAGTTATAAATCCTAATTATAATATGCCATATCTGATCTGACGCAGTGGTATTGAATGATTTGTTTTTTAGGGCTTACCAACCCTTTTGGGGGCTATTTAAATTTAATGGAAAGAATATGAGAAAAAAAAATTGCAACCCTGTTTCTAAAACTAGGATGTCGAATATAAACTTTCAACACGCGTTGAATCCTAAAACTGACAAGTTAAAGCATGAAACAACAATAATTATTTTTGTTTCCTATTTATAAAAAGACAAAATCTATTAAGAGCTGCAATGGACAAGAAAAGGAAAGCCATAATCGCCTACGTTCAGAAAGTGGGAGTGATATATCGAAGAAGTGGTTTGAGTTCTGGTGTTATTAATAAACGTGGGGGTCTTCAAAAACTCGGTAACGTGGCGGTGGTCGAAAATAAATTATAAAGTTATAAATCTTAATTATAATATTCCAGATCTTAGCCATAATATCTCAGAATAAAGATGAGTATAGATAATTTTATGATGGTAACTTAAAAATAATTTAGCAACAATTTCTGTATCTGAAAAATTTTAATTATTATAAATGGCCATTTTTTATGGATTTTTTCATAACATCATTAAATGGAATAAAAGACAATAAAATGATTTATATAACAAATTGTTTAATATTTATTATACTCTGTGTCCCGACAGGGCTTACTTGGTGATGCCTCTTCATAGCTTCTTGTAAAAGATAATTGCTTTTTGCATGGTTCTGAATTTGGAAATTTCTCCTAGAATGATCGTCTGCAAAAACTCAAAGGCACTTCTCATTAACTGACAACTGCTGCGTGAATCATGGATTCATACCTTTTCTAATCAGTCACATTGTATGGAACGAGACTTTTAAAAAAAAGTAGGGCACATAGTGAGGATCAAATTCTACTTGAATCATACATACGGATAAAAAAGAAAAATGGGAAATACCTCCATATCCAACGGAACAGCTGCGATCCATCCAGCCCCATAGGAAATTGCAACAATCCAGAAAAGTACTGTTACCATGGTTACTGGTTGAAAACCACAAATTCGAGGATATTTTCTTTTTTGTCACCCTCTGGTGAATTTATGGCTGGCAATTAATAACAGTTTTCTTAGCTTCTGAGTAAGATGACTTGTGTAAAATATTAATCTTTGCGAGTGTGTCTGCATATCCACCTGTTGTTTGTTCTGATAAGATTAAATGCTGGAAGGGGCGTGTTTATAGTAGGTCAGAAAAGTACGAAAGCCAACAATAAATTACCTGGCCAGAAACGATTATATTGTGCAATGTTGATACATCTTTGTCAATATTTGCTTTTCAAACTATTAAATTCAAATTTCGTAAAGAATTTCTTTCTTATAAGTTACAGTGGAATCGAGAGACACGCAAATTCAACTTGAGGTGAGGAGAGAGCTTTAGTTTCAAAAGTCAATAGATAGATTGATAGATAGATAGATAGATAGATAGATAGGTTATTTACGGAGATAGATAGATAGGGTGGGTGGTTGATATACTAATCGATATTGGGGGGTTGATATACTAATCCATATGGTGGGGTGATATACTAATCCATATAGGGGGGTTGAAATACTAATCCATATGGGGAGTGATATACTAATCCATATAGGGGGGTTGAAATACTAATTCATATGGGGAGTGATATACTAATCCATATAGGGGGTTGATATACTAATCCATATAGGGAGGGTGATATACTAATCCATATGGGGGTGATATACTAATCCATATGGGGGGTTGATATACTAATCCATACGGGGTGTGATATACTAATCCATATAGGGAGGGTGATATACTAATCCATATAGTGGGGTGATATACTAATCCATATGGTGGAGTGATATACTAATCCATATGGGGGGTTGATATACTAATCCATATGGGGTGTGATATACTAATCATATATAGAGGTTGATATACTAATCCATATAGGAGGTGATATACATGATCCATATGAACTGATAAAAAAAATCCATTACAGGGTGTGATATACTAATCCATATAGGGGGTTGATATACTAATCCATATAGGGAGGGTGATATACTAATCCATATGGTGGGGTGATATACTAATCCATATAGGGGTGTGGTGATATACTAATCCATATAGGGGGATTGATATGCAAATCCATATGGGTGGGGGTTGTAGTGAATCCACAATCATTCCCGTGCATCCTCCGTTACCGTCTCCTGCTAACTGGTCTTTTAGTCTTCTGTCTCAGGGGTCGGCTACCTATGGCACGCGTGCCATACGTGGCACGCCAAGCAATTTCCAATGGTACGCAGCCGCAAATGACATCACGAAGTCCGAACCAATAACTACTACAGCACAAAGAAGATATAAAAAACCACATAAAAAAACGGCCTTGTGACACATCCTGCATGCGGAGAGACTAAGGTAAATAAACTCAGTCCCGATCAACCGAGTCAGGCAGTTCGTGGCTGACTTGTAGGATTCTCTGCCTCCAGGAAGAGAGGAACCCAGACGAGGCTATGCCGAAGGGTAGAGCCACGTTCTGTGAGGTAGACAAGTCTGACTTCGTGTATGTGGGCTCAACGGGGTATTTTTGACCAAGCTTGAAATCGCGCCACATAAAAACGACCTTGTGACACATCCTGACTTGTGAAAGGGATAGCCAAATAACCTCAATCCTCATTTGCCGATTCAGGCAGTTCGAACTGACTTGTCGAACTCTCTACCCGAAGACTGAGAACACAGATGAGGCTATGCCGAAGGACAGAGTCACGTCTGAGGAGGTAGACAAGCCCGACCCCGTGTATTCGGGGGTCTACGAGGAATTTTTGCACAAGCCTACGGACTCGAAATCGCCCCACATAAGAAAACGGCCTTGTGATACACCCTGGCTTGTGGAGAGGCTAAGGTAAATAAACTCAGCCCCGATCAACAGAGTCAGGCAGTTCGTGTCTGACTTGACGAATTCTCTGCCTCCAGGAGGAGAGGAACCCAAACGATGCGATACCGAAAAGCAGAGTTGCGTCTAGGGAGATAGACAAGCCCGACCCCGACACGGGTATGCGGCGGTCTACGGGGAATTATTGGTCAAGCATACGGGCTCGAAATCGTGCCACATAAAAACGGCCTTGTGACAATATCCTGCCTTGTGGCAAGGGTAAGGTAAATAACCTCAATCCCCATCTACCGAATCCGGCAGTTCGAACTGACTTGTCGAACTCTCTGCACGAGAAGAGAACACAGATGAGGCTAAGCCGAAGCACACAGTCACATCTGTGGAGATAGACAAGCCCGACCTCGTGTATGCGGGGGTCTACGGGGAATTTTTGACCACGCATTCGTGCTCGGAATCGCCCCACATAAAAAAAAACGGCCTTGTGTCACATCCTGCCTTGTGGAGAGGTTAAGGTAAATAAACTCAATACCGATCTACCATGTCAGGCAGTTCGTGTCTGACGTCGAATTCTCTGCCTTCAGGCGGAGAGGAACCCAGACGAGGCTATGCCGAAGGGCAGATTCACGTTTGTGGTTGTAGACAGCTACCCGACCCCATTTTTTATATGGTTCTACGGGGAATTTTTGCCCGAGTCTACGGGTTCGGTTTTACCCCGCATTAAATAACGGTCTTGTGCCACATGCTGCCTCGCGGGGTGGTGAGGTAAATAACCTTACAAGTAAGCGGTGGAGGCTTGCTTCGGCAAGTAGTTGGAGAATCGTCTCCAGCTAAGCTAGTCGAACTCTCTGCCTTCGGGCGGAGAGGATCCCAGACGAGGCTATGCCGAAGGGCAGAGTCACGTGTGAGGAGGTAGACAAGCCCGACCTCGTTTATGTGGGGCCTGCGGATAATTTTTCCCAAGCCTACTGGCTCGAAATCGCCCCACATAAAAACGGACATGGGTCATATTCTGCTTTGAGGGGGGGACGCTAAGTCCCGATCTGTCTTGTCTTGAAGTCAGAACGCTACGTTCGCTTGTCCGAATTAGCTTTTGTACGTCAATCCCAATTCTGAGTTCGTGAACTTTTTGCCATATTAATTTTGCTTTGCCTTATTACTGTTAATTTGCCTTATTGCTGTTAATTTGCCTTGCATATATTGTTTGCTTCCTTTATATTATTTTTTTTTTTTTGCCTGTTATTTTGTTTTTCTTGTTATTGCATTTGTAAACTTTGTCAATTCTGTTTGTTTGACAGTTCTGTTAGTTATATTGCCTTTAACTAGGTCTACTCACTCCACAGCACACACACAAACAACACACACACATTTACTCACTGGTAAGGCTTGCCAGTGTGGTCGAGCATCGTTACATTTTTCGTACGCTTCCTTGGAGTAACGTCTATTCAGAAAAATAGATAACTAATCGGCAGTCGAGACAATAGTGTCTGGACGTAATAAAGATAATTGTCGGACTTTGTCCATTTTAATATATATATATATATATATATATATATATATATATATATATATATATATAATCGTTGGTTTCAATCGGTATAGAAATGACTGCAAAACAATTGTCCCTCCCCAACGAATGCTTGGATTTCTTCCTAGCCAATAAAATAGGCCGGCTCTCGGTTTCATCTGACTCAGTCCCGGTCTGTCTTATTTTCAAACCAGAATGCTACGTTCGCTTGTCCGAACGCTTGTGCGTCAATCCCAATTCTAAGTTCGTGAACTTTTTGCCATATTATTGTTGCTTTGCCTGATTACTGTTAACTTAACGTGCATATATTGCTTGCTTTGGTTATATATATATATATATATATATATATATATATATATATATATTGCCTTGGTCTTTTCTTTCTCTTGTTATTGCTTATTGCAATTCTTTGTCAATTTTATTTGCTGGACAGTTCTGCTATTTATTTTTGCATTTGACCATGGCTACTCATTCCACAAATATATTTTGAAAACTGAAACAAACTCACTATTCAGTCGTAATTGATCTAGCGAGACAAGCTTTTTAACCATTACACCACGTCGAGGTGCCGAAATGATTTACTAAGCGTTTTTAGATGTGGCACAAGGTCGAAAGTATGGAGCACCCAGTGAGAATCAAACGAACTACACAGTCGTAATTGATCTAGCGAGACAAGCTTTTTTAACCATTACACCACGTCGAGGTGCCGAAATGATTTTCTAAGAGCATTGATGTGGCACAAGGTCGAAAGTATGGGAGCACCCAGTGAGGATTAAACTCACTACTCAGTCGTAATTGATCTAGCGAGACAAGCTTTTTTAACCATTACACCACGTCGAGGTGCCGAAATGATTTACTAAATGTGCTTAGATGTGGCACAAGGTCGAAAGTATGGAGCACCCAGTGAGAATCAAACTCATTACTCAGTCATAATTGATCTAGGAAGACAAGCTTAGTAACCATTACACCAAGTTGAAGTGCTTGAAAATGATTTTCTAAGCGTATCTTAGATGTGGCACAAGTCTGAAAGTATGGATCAACCACTGATGATTGAACTCATTACTCAGTCATAATTGATCTAGGAAGACAAGCTTAGTAACCATTACACCAAGTTGAAGTGCCTGAAAAAATGATTTTCTAAGCGTATCTTAGATGTGGCACAAGTCTGAAAGTATGGAGCACCCAGTGAGAATCGAACTCACTACTCAGTCGTAATTGATCTAGCGAGACAAATTTTTTTAACCATTACACCACGTCGAGGTGCCCGAAATGATTTACTAAACGTAGCTTAGATGTGGCACAAGGCCGAAAGTATGGAGTCACCCAGTGAAAATCAAACTCACTATTTAGTCGTAATTGATCTAGCGAGACAAACTTTTTAACCATTACACCACGTCGAGGTGCCTAGTAAATGATTTTCTAAAGTAGAATTAGATGTGGCACAAGGCCGAAAGTATGGAGCACCCAGTGAAAATCAAACTCACTATTCAGTCGTAATTGATTTAGCGAGACAAACTTTTTAACCATTACACCACGTCGAGGTGCCTAGTAAATGATTTTCTAAACGTAGCTTAGATGTGGCACAAGGCCGAAAGTATGGAGCACCCAGTGAAAATCAAACTCACTATTCAGTGGTAATTGATCTAGCGAGACAAACTTTTTAACCATTACACCACGTCGAGGTACCCCATGTGCCTAAATGATTTTCTAAGCTGCATTAGATGTGGCACAAGGCCGAAAGTATGGAGCACCCATTGAAAATCAAACTCACTATTCAGTCGTAATTGATCTAATGAGACAAACTTTTTAACCATTACACCACGTCGAGGTGCCCAAATGATTTTCTATTTTTCCCGCGTAGATTAGATGTGGCACAAGGCCGAAAATATGGGCACCCAGTGAGAATCAAACTCACTATTCAGTCGTAATTGATCTAGCGAGACAAGCTTTTTACCCATTACACCACGTCGAGGTGCCGAAATGATTTACTAAGAGTAGCTTAGATGTGGCACAATGCCGAACGTATGTGGCACCCAGTGAGGATCGAACTCACTATTCAGTCGTAATTGATCTAGCGAGACAAGCTTGTTAACCATTACACCACGTCGAGGTGCCCTAATGATTTTCTAAGGGTAGCTTAGATGTGGCACAAGGCCGAAAGTATGGAGCACTCAGTGAGGATCAAACTCACTATTCAGTGGTAATTAATTCTAGCGAGACAAGCTTTTTAACCATTACACCACGTCGAGATGCACTAGTAATGATTTTCTAAGCGTAGATAGATGTGGCACAAGGCCGAAAGTATGGAGCACCCAGTGAAGATCAAACTCACTATTCAGTAGTAATTGATTTAATGAGACAAACTTTTTAACCATTACACCACGTCGAGGTGCCGAAATGATGCACTAGTATAGATTACCGCTGCATAGATGTGGCACAAGGCCGAAAGTATGGAGCACCCATTGAAGATCAAACTCACTATTCAGTGGTAAATTGATCTAATGAGACAAGCCTTTTTAACCATTACACCACGTCGAGGTGCCTAAATGATTGATTTAG